AATCAAAATGATAAGGAAAAAATTATGCAGTGCTGTAGAAGCAACCAATTTCATTTAATTTCATAAAAATTAAAAAAAAAATACCATTGCGGCATCTGCCTTGTCCAACGCCGGTACGTGATAAATAACAGAAAAGGCATTACAAATTCCAATAGATTCGAGAAATCCAACCTCGCTTGTAGTTCCAATAACAAGCATATTCTTCCCCTGCAAGAAAAATTATAAATAAAATTCTTTAATCCTTGAAATAGCTGCACCAAAAGTAACAACAAAATTATACATGCATGGTAACTTTTGAATGTATCCTACTCAAAACAGGATGAAAAAAAGGAATGATGTAAACTATGACATGAGGCCAAATAATGTTAATTTCCGGTATTACATATGTTTTCTTCGCTTTTTTTGTTGATTCTACACTTGAGGAAGATATTTTTTTCATATTTTACAGGATATTAATGGGGAGTGCAATTCCGGGAGCAGAAGGGTGAAATTTGGCCAAAGGATCACGGCACCCCCAAGGCCCCGCGCCCCATATGGCACGTCGGTGCCTCAAGGCCCAATTGCACAAAATGCTTGCTTCCATAGCCAAGGAACGGCACGCCTGTGCCAAGTCAACACGCTAGCACCTAACTCTCGAGCCTTCCATGCGTCCACACGATTTCTCGCGCTGTCGCGCCAGTCTATCGCATATGTTGCCTCGATTCCGCAAACTTATGAATTGAGAAGGGTTTAAATACCTAATTTGAAACCCTAATAGAGCACCAAAGTATAGACGTTTGTTTTGTTATCACAGAAGGTATTCGTTGGACTATTGGAGGTGCTTTTCTGGAGGTCTAATGGGAGTCTTGTCAACAATAGGATTTTCTCCGATGGTTCTCCTTGGGGAAGATTCCTAGTGTTGGTTTATTTGTGAAAATTTTGCAAATTGTGAGAGAGGTTGAGTGCAATTGTACGAGAGAAGATCTTCTAATAACTTGTATTGAACGAAGATGATCGCAATGTATTCTCGGGTGTGAGTTTATGTACCTCTTGCACTATATTCTTTTTATGTCAGCAATAAAAATATTCGTGTATTTTATTTCGTGCATTATGGTTGACCTCATTTTCATATTCTTATGATGTAAGAGATGTGTTTTTCTTATATTCTCGCCTATAACTATTGTTCCCTAGACACATTTTTCGTGTATGAATTTCATATGTTAATGTGTTAACTTTCTGGCCTTAGTTTAAATTTAATCAAATATGATAGAAGTTAAATCACTTGTGATCTAGGACTTCTAACCGTCGCCTAAAAGAACAAGTGGGTTAACATATAGTAACCTAGTGGAATAGACATATTGCCAGGGCTAGAAAATTTCAACCAAGATAGGAGACTAGAAGATTCATGGAAAATGTTGCATAGTTAAATCGCTTAACTGTAATATGATTTAGAACTCTTCTTATACCTAGACACACGCTAAAGAGAACATGTCCCCGGTTGTCAACAATAGGGTGGGTTTCATAGAAAAACATGGAGAAAACACTTAACCGGTGTCACAGGAGTACGAACATTTCAGATATGAAATCTGAAAAACTTCACAAAACTTCATTAGTTTTTTTTCTTTTTGCACTAGGATTTTAGAACTTTTCAAATCTACAAACTAAACATTAAAATTAAGCTAAGTAATTTATTATAAACTAGAATTTCACCTGATAGAGATATTTTCACACTTTCCTCATGGGATCGATATACATACTCATAATTCATATATTACTTGATCGACATATATACTTGCGTGATTGACAAACTTACCTCGCAGTAATTTCATACATCAAGTTTGTATTGTCATTGCCGCAAAAAGAAGTTCAAAATTTTCTGATTTTTGGAGAACTTTAGTTGAACATAGAATTTAGGTTTGAACTTTTTATGTTTCCTATTTTCTGATTTATATTTTTTTGAGTTTTAATGTGATGTACTTGTGTGTGCATTGTTACTTGTTGCATGTGCCAAAAGTCAAATATAAATATTTACTTACATTTTTTTTTTTCACTGTGTTCACTGTTATTCTTTCTTGTTTTCCCTTCTTTATGTCAATATTCTTGTGTTAGTGTAAGACCACCCTTTGCACACCCATCATTGCATGCATAAGACTAGCCCAGGTGAATTATTATCACTCGATCCGAAAATCAAATGAACCTTTAGACAACTTCGAAGAACTCAAAAACTGCAAGAGACACACTTAGAGATGGTGAATCCTCAGAACAATCACTTGAAGCCCCTTACGGAGTATGACATCATTGCTAGACGAAATTCACACGAGCCTTAAACACTGCCATATAAGCCCCTACATTTGAACTTAGGCTTGAGCTTATTCTAATGAGTCAAAACACCAGTTTGGGGAACACTAACAGAAAACCCATACCACAATTTGGCTAGTTTTTTAGAACTGTGTGCCACAATCAAGTTTAGCGGTGTCTCAAATGATGTCGTTAGATTAAAGCTGTTCTTTCTCACTTATGGATAAAACCAAGAGGTGATTATACTTCTTAGCACCAAAATCGATTTCAGCTTGGAGCAACCTAACCAAAAATTCTTGGCCCATCGCTTTCCTCCCTTCAAGATTATCAAACTTAGGAAAGACATGATGCCCTTACTTAATTAGAGGTAGAGAAAATTTATGAGGTTTGGGAGAGGTTCAAAGAAATGCTTAGGGAGTGCCCACACCATCCTTTGACTGACTATTATCCAAATATTTTATAACGGGCTAATGAGATCCTTGAGATTGATTATAGATGCTATAGTTAGGAGTCCCTTATGTCCAAATCATTTAAGGAAGTCGACACACTAATTGAGGAAATGATTATGAATGAATTTCAATGGCTATTCGAGAGAGTTACCTCTATGAAGGAAGCTAATGGGCATAAAATTGAGGTGTTGACTATCTTAACCTCACAAGCTAACCTCACAAGTTAATGACATGTAAAGGAAAGTGGACAAATGAGATAGCTTATCAACTAATAGGTGATTCAACGACCATTTTCTTGGATACCATACAAACTAATTTCGATCACCCCTATTCCAACATTTACAACCCAAGTTGTACTACCTAGCCAAACTTCAATTCGAACAATAATAACCCAATTATAGAAAACAAACAATGAGGGAGCACCCAAGTCAATCATGTAATAAATTGGAATAACTAGAGCAGAGACCACTTTAGACCAACTCACCCATGTGGATTCACTTTTAACCCTAAATTTAGGGAGGAAAACTTGAATTTGAAAAAAATTATAGTAAATATGTGGAATCAGTTACAAAGCCAAGCTGCAGCCATGAGAACCATAGAGAATCAAATAGAGCAGTTAGTTAACCTTTTAAGCAATGAACCCCAAAAGATGTGACCCAGTCACACTGAAGTGAATCTGGTAAAAGGAATAAGAAGCAAGTGCATACTGTAGATGTGTTGTTAGGGGCAATTGATAGCCACATTTCGGAATATGAAGAATTTGACCACAAATAGCAAGCTGGATGACTTTTGTTGTACTGGATGACTTTTGTTGGATAATGACTAAAAAGGAATCTACTCTTCTTTCGAGGCAACCACTAGAGTTTTTAGAGAGATAGTTGAGATTGTAGACAGCATGACCCTAGTCAAGCCTATAGTACCACCCATAGGAGGAGACCCAAGGAAAAAAGTAGAAGATAACCCTAAGCAAGAGAGTAACCCTGTAGAGTTAGATCTTGAGCCTAAAGAGCCTAGTGAGAATCCAACTAATGCTTAGGAAACCTTGACCCACCTCCTAACGAACCATTTCTTGCAGTTGGTTGAAAAAAAATGCTAAACTACAAAAAGGGGAGTTAATTGAGAAAATTCTGGATATAAAAAACACTCTTCAGGATGATAATCTGAATCAACCTACCTACCCTCTAGAAGACAATTATCGAACTGAGATGAAAAATTACAAAAAATTCTAAAATCTGAGAATTTAATGAAAAATCCAGGACAAACAAAAGATTAGGCGATCGATCGGGGATTACTGAAATTAAATTTTGATCTTGAAGGAAGACTTATTCAATTTGATTTGAGCTTAGGTCAAACTAAGAGAATTAAACCAAACACTACCTTACGATGCAGCCCAAGTGTTATCTCATGAGTTCCTCGCATTTGTTGGTATTTATGTTCAAGTTTTTGCATTGAAAGTTTATTTTTCCTTTGTTTTGTCTGCTTAGTCATCGGTTATATCTTTAGAGTGTATCTAGGTCTTGGATTTAAATTTGGGAGACGAACACGAGAGTTAATAAGTAAAGAATCACGTGTAGGAGACTGGACTGGCGCACACACGCTAGAACTAGCACACTTGCGCTGTATTCTAGAGAAAATGGCACGTTATTGTCATATATCGGCACCCCCGCATGAACATACAACACAACCACGCCTCATAGCACGCTCCGACACTTTTTGGGGAACACAAGAGCATCTGCACTCTCCCTGCATTCCCTTGCCGCGCAACCGAGAGGGCAATATCTCTACGCTGCATCTGGGTGAGCCCGCACCACATATTTTCTTTTTTTTCCAGCCTTCTATTTTCTCTTATGGCATGCATAGGATAAAAAACAAGTTTGGGAGAGTACAGTTGCGTGAGAGTGATTCATGTTCAAGTTATGGGTCATATTTCAATGTACCAATTCATGATATGATCCTAATATTTAACAAGACTATATATTGCCTTCATTAGAACAGTGAATACCCATTAAAGGGGAGGTCTAGAATTAATATTTCAATAACTGAGTAATGCACTTTAACAACACTACTTGAATTATAAAGTCTCAAAATAGTTAAAAAAGTGTAATTAAAATATCAAAAATTAATCATAGATACTTTAAATGTTTTAATTTTCAACTTAACCCATTTAATTGGGCCTCAACTTTTGAGTGAATTATAATATTTGAGAGTTCATATTAAGGAACTTGTGGAAATTATCAATTAGGAGATTATGAATCTAAATTCCTTAAAAGAAATGAGCTCAACCTGATATAATAATTCTTAGTAGAATTGAAAAAAAAAAATAGAGAGATGTCTGATTCAAAAGAAAAATCAAAAGAGGTGGTCAATCTCCTTGAGAAGAAGATTGAGTTGAGTATAAAAATTAAAAATTGGTATCTAGGTCCATTTCTAATTAATAATAGCTAAAATTATCTTAATGAAAATCTTATAATATTAAATTCAAGAAAATTTATGTGATTTTGGATTGGTCGGTTAAATAGTACTTTATTGAAAAATATATCTGGGCAATGAAATTATTTGAATCACCTTATTAAGTGTTTTGAGATCTACTTCGACTTATATAATGAAAATAAATGAAAATCTAACACTAAAAATGACATTTTTTATTTACAATTATATAATCTTGTTAAAGAATTAGGAATTCTCACATAAAAGCTACAAATGCTAAAATAAGTCTCACTTAGATATGAGAATACTTGAATGCAAATAATAGGTATGTTTGAGGAAATTGATAAGGTAAACTTACGTTAATTTCTGGTATTACAAATTATGTTTTATTCCCCATTTACGCACATTATACACTTCAGGAAGGTATTTTAGTCGTATTTTATAGAATACAGATGGAGAGCACAATTCCGGAAGCAAAAGGGTGAAATACGGTCAAAGGATGATGACACCCCCATGTCCATATGGCATGCCCGGGCCTCAAGGCTCGAGCGCATGAAACCCCCGCGCTAACTGACGACACGCCCGCACCAAACTCCCAAGCCTTCCGTGCGTCCGCTCCATTTCTCGCGCGCACGCGTCAGTTTGGCTTGCATGTTGCCTCGGTTCTGCGAATTGGCGTTTAATACCTAATTTGGAACCCTAATTGAATACCTAAGTATATAATGCCATTTTGTGATCGTAGGAGATACTTTTTAAGTTGTTGGAGGTTGCTTCTCTTGAGGTCTAATGGAAGCCATCAACCCTAGGATTTTCTCCAATGGCTCACCTTAGGGAAGATTCTTAGGGTAGGTTTTTCTGTGAGTTTTTGAGAAATTGTGAGGAGAGGTTGAGTGCAATTGTATGAGAGGAGATTTTTGAATAGTTTGTATTGAATGGAGAGTATTGCGGTGTATTGCATGGACCAATTAGATCCAGTGAGTTTTATGTACCCCTTGCATTGTATTCCATTTTATGCCTAGAATAAAAATTCTTATTTTTTTATTCGTGCATTGTAGTTAATCTCGTTTTCATACTCTTATGAGACAAGACAAGTGGCTCTCTTGTATTTGCTCTATAAATTTTGTTCCTTAGACGTCTTTCCGTGCATGAATTTCATATATTGATGTGTTAACTTCTTGGTATTAGTTTACTTTTAATTGAACACGATACAATATTAAAATCTCTTGTGATCAAGAACTTCTAACCGTTGCTTAAAAGAACAAGAATGTTAACACATATTATCGTAGTGGAATATACATATTGCCATTAGAAAATTGCAACCTAGATAGAAGACTAGAAGATTTCTGAAAAACGTTGCATGGTTAAATCCCCTTAACAGTAATATAGTTTACAACTCTTCTTATGACCTAAACATAGGTTAAAGAGGACATCTCCTTGGTTGTCAACATTAACGTGGGTTTCATAGAAAAACATCAAGTGTCACAAAAATATGAACCTTTTATATCCAAAAAACTACACAATATTTTGTTAGTTTTCTTCTTTCTGCATCAGGATTTTAAACATTTTCATATCTGCAAAATGAACATTCAAATTTGGCTTAACAGTTTAGTAAACTAGAATTTTGCCTGTTAGATATTTTAACACTTTTCCGATGGGATCAGCACGCACGCATAATCTGTATATTACTTGATCGACACGTATATTACCGTGATTGACCGACTTGTCTCGGAGTAATTTCAGGTGTCATAAACTCATAAAACTAAGAATAAGAATAAATAAAACAAAAATTAAATTAGTGTAAAAAGGAGCACATATGAAGCTGCTGCTGGAAAAAAAAGTCCTAACAATTCAAAAATACAACTTCTCAGCTCCTTTAATATAAGAAGGAATAGGTATAAGTATGGTATACCTTTGGAGGAAGTTTTTTTAGAAGGACCAGCAATGTTTGTGCAATCAAATTTGAAAAGCGAGGACCAATGACAACATAATCCAACAGCCTGAGATGTAAATCATATGATTCAACAACAAGAAATAAAGATAATACCGATCAATCTAATAAAATAAATAAATGCAGCAAGCGTTTTGATTAACTCAAAATATAACTTCTGATATTGCAATTAGAAGGTATCATTAAAAAAAGGATTCAACCGCAAATGTTAAAGACAAGTACACATGCTCTAATGAATATGAATAGAGCAATGCTAACACAGTAAATTGTACAAAGAATATACTACCATAATGGAACATACTTTTAAAGCAGCATAAGCAAGAGGGGGAAAACATTTCATGGTGAAGCTAGCGTTACAAATTTTTATAGAAAAATGAACTCAAAATAAATCGAAATCGTGCAAGGTACTGAATAAAAATGCATGATTTAAGAGCTACCTTTCAATGTCATCAAGAATAATGACGCTCAACTGAGATTTATACGCATCCTCAAAAACCTATATAAGGAAAAATATAATTTACTCAACCTGGAAGAATTGACCGTGAACATGCTTAGAAATAAAATAGAGAAGTAAATTTCAAATGCGATAGGCTCAAAACATACATTTTCCAGATGGCCCAACTGTTTTAAACTTACTAATAACAGGATTAAAAAGTAAAAGAAAAAATACTTTTTATTAGATTTTTGAATTCATAATCATTGAAAATGATCAACTGAAATCAAAATTGACCAGGATAAAGAAACCTTGATAATTTTTGCACATTTACTGCTCTCGCTAAGACCACCCATTGACTCAGCTGAGACCTGTGGCAACAATAGTTGGATCTTAATCCAGAAAACTTCCGAAGCATTATACAATAGACTGAACTTACAATTTTGACAAATGGAAAATCACTGTCGATACCAATTGTTGCCGCCATCGCTGTCTTACCACTGCCAAGGCATAAAGTTCACATCAAAGCTACCACTAATTATTATTGTTCACAACTCAAATGCACCTTTTCATGCAATAGGTAAAATGATATGCAGGTAAATATCAAAGTTTTGGTGTGGGATATGTAAATACATAAGAATTCCGTGTAATGTATGTAAATTTCCCTAAAAAAATCGCACGCGATCAAATTCGTTCAACCAATATCATATCCCTATAAAACAGAAAAGAGCACAACTTCTTAGGTACCTACACATTTTTTCTGTATTGTTACATCTTGAAATTATCAGATTATTAAAAAAAAATATAATGCTCTTATTAAAGACCGGGAGGAAGAAAAACATTCAAAAAATAGATCCGGACAAAGCATATGACAAAAGCTAGAAAAATTGAATTCAAATATGGAGTCTCGCCATTAAAATATATATATATATATATATATAGAAATCTTACTATCACATAGTGACGTGTGACTACTACAAATGAAAGTGCTTTCATGTGCTGTAAGAAATGGCACCCCTTTCAAGAAAATTATCTCCACAAAAAATACTCAATATTTTTCAAAATTATTTATTTCTTTCACTTCAGAAAGCTAAGAAAAATAGTAGTTAAAGCTATAGATAAAAGATGATTAATAAGGGCGCATCCCATCCTCTCAAGCCCCATGGGCACAATTGGCATTATTTATGATTTGGACAGCCATTTTATATATTATAGAACCAACTTTCTAGCCTAATGTGTGATCTAAAAATATGATGTCATGCATTGTTCTTTGCCTTTTTTTTCATAGTCTTTGTTGTCCTGCCTCTTCAACCTCAAAAAAGATTACAGATTTTAATATCTGGCTCACCTCCTAACAAACTTCATTAGATCAAAAAAAGGAAAGCTCCACACGACAAGAACAATGCATGACATCCAATCATAGATCCCAAACCCAGGAATAAGAGCAAATATCTTCTCCCCAATAGATTTTTACAAGTGACTGATGTTTTTATAAATTCCAATGGACATTTGCTATAATTTTGTAGATGGGTAGAACCAAGATTGGTGTATGCATTTGTCGGCACTATTTTGGTTGGGGGAGTTTCCCGTAAGAAGTTGTCGGTCACCGGAATCGAAATCTCGTCGCCCGCTTCGGAAGGACGTTTTAATTTACATATAAATTTAAGTTTAGAAAAATATGAAATCAAACTGACCCCATATTTTTCATAGTTTAAATGAAAGAGCATTATACCTCAAATCCTGTATCTATCCCGAAGGATAAGCACAAAACTTGAGGATGAGGCTCGATCAGATAAACTAAGAAATATATGACGTCCGTTCGGTCTGCGAAACCGTTTTATTTGCCGACAAGTCCCCCTATTTAATATGAATAGTTAAATAGGGTCTATATTAAGTTGAGTTCGGAAAAGTTTCCTATAAAGACAAGCCCCTATAGTTAATTACATCTTAAATAACCGAAGTCACCCAAGAATACTCTCGATAAAAATCAGAAAATATTATCTTCAAAGAGGTCAAAAGAATAGGACTTTTCAAAGAAATCAGACAAAGATGTTTGCAAAGGGGAATTGTTCAAACTTGAAATATTTATTATAGAATCCAAAGGAAGAAGAACTAGGGGATGCCACTGATCTGAAGGAGAACCTCGATGACTTCCCAGTCTACCCTATGATTTGGCTTTAATTTCGAGGAAGAAATATTCAAGTGTTTTATCCTGTCAATTTTATTTACTTAGCGCTTACATTCGTGCGAAATGATCACACAAATAGTCTGGAAGATATGAGAATTTAGATCATGACGGACGGCAACCTCAGAATCCTAAGACGAGTTAGGGCTTAGAATGTACAGTAAAGCCGTACAAATGTCTAAAGATAAGTTGAAGATTTATGTTGCATAAGCAAACAACCTCAAAATTCTATGGATTGTTGTTTTAATTTCTAGGGAAGGAATCGCTTAACTGGTGTAAACATGTCCTGCTGTTGAAGATGGTCGTGCTGCCCACAATGTTAGCTCCAAGTTCCTTGTTGTCGTGACGAGTTTAAGGTTTAAGTTTTCTAGGGTGTCAGGTTATGATGTCAAATCAAGCGGCCCTATGATTGTAATCCTTTAAACATTTTATGAGAGACATGTTGAAGTTGTACAATGTATGGAACAACAGTAGAATGTGTAGAACAGGACAACAGTAGATTATGCACTGAAAAAGAACAGTACAACATGCAGTGTAAAAAAAGAGTAAAAGGTACAACAGGAAAATGACTGCAACAAAGTAACATGCTGTAAACACAAAGCAAACCTGTACACCTAGAAGATCCGCTGTTCCTTAGGTGTAGTTGATGCAACAGGTACAAATAGAACAAGCTGAAATGCATCATATAAACGAAAGCAAAAGAAGAAAAGAAACGTCACCCGGAAAACTTGAGAAAGAACAGTAAATGACCCACGATGAGAAATTCGGGAAAAGTCAACGAATAATCCATGACGAAAAGCTAGAGAAAATTGACGAGTAATAATTCAAATAAAATCCTCAAAACCTCGGGAAAATCCCAGAGAAAAGACCACGAGTGCTTTGTCCAAAAAATTTGATAAAACATATGCAAAAGTCTGAAAAAAGGGGACCACAAGCACTCGGGTAGGGCTAGACTCAGATATATATTTGTACTCGAGGGTTGTCGAAGGCTACTCGGTCACCTGGATGCATAAAGCTCGCCACTCGACTAGAAGGGTGTCCTACTGAACCTACCTTAGGAGGGTCCTCCTTGGCCCAATTGGCCCAAATAGGTAATCAACAGGTGGACAACCAATTTTTTTTTAAATGTATTTAAAATTTATATTTTTAGCATGAACATAGGTTTCAAGCATACAAAAGTGAGTTGTATCAATTTTGCTTGTATCAAAAAAAATATATTTTTGTTTGAAAAATGTGTATTCGTTCTTATCAAATTTGTTTTTATTAGTTTTGAAAAAGTGTAGTTGTCCACGAGTCGATCACACTGTCGGGCGTAGGACTACCAACAACCTAAGAAAATACGGGTCAACTCTCGCTAGTCTTATGTCGGTGAATGATATTACATCCTATTTACATCCTACGGTTCACCGGGTCCATGGGGGTGTCCCGATGTCGTAGAATTGAATATCATCCCGCTCTACCACAGGTGTGTTTTTGTCATCACCGCCCTAAGCCCCAAAACAAAACGAACTACTTGCAACATTGTTTGATGATTTTACATATAACAAAAGGTTATACGTGGACGCTTATGCATCGAACATAAGCATAAAAAAAACCGAATCAAGAAGCAAAGAAAAAAAGAATAAAAAAATGACGTGAGAGAGAGAAAGCACTGATCCACTTAAAACACCGAAAAGACGGAGATGAATCAGCCCTCAAAACTCGTAATGAAAAGACCTAAGAAGGTAGGGCCCATGGTCCTTGAATCAATCCAGAAGGATTTCATTTTCTCGCTCTATTAGAATTGGATCAACCCAAGGCGGGTGTACTTCCCAAATCCTGTTTCGAACGAGTCGAAACGGGCTCGAACCGACATGACGATCACCCACAAATGACCTCCCCTGCATCGGTGTCAATCCTCCAAAAATATCTTCCATGGGCTCAATTTAATTCAACCAAATGCTCTCCCAAATAGGACTTGAAAATCCTCCAAATTTCATGAATTGAATAAAAGGAAAGTGACCCGGGGAAGACTACCATCAACACCTCCAAACTTATGCCAAAATTAAGACTTTTCAACTCCCAAATTAATCAATAGCTTCTCATACCAAATAAACATAGAACCTTTCAATAAAGCCACATAAATGCTCACGGTTGGGGTCAATAGAGATGAGGAAGCAGCCACCAGCCATCAAGGCTCTCGACCAAGTTCACCCACAAAACAAGGAACTCACGGCTAAGGCAAGAAACAGAGCCAAAAGAGGCTCACGGCCAAGGCAACCCAAGG